TATATAATCGCCAAATGATGAACACGAAAGCTTGCTGCAGAAGGGTGGGAGAGGAGAGTGGGTGTTTTTCACTCCATCTAACACCCTTGGATTCTTGTCTTACATATGGTATCATACTGTAAATGCTGGTTTTGTATCTTTTAACACATTTTGGAAAGGAAAATTAAAATGTTACGAACCATATTGTTATTGGGCAACTGGGTTGAAATAAATAAAGCAAGGCTCAGTGAAGATATGTAAAGTGAACGGCCACAGGAAGAAAAATTGACTGTATCAGAATATAGAATAAGGAAGTCTGGGCCAGCCAAATAGCTCAGTGGATTAAAGCGCCTGCTTAGGCAGACGCAGGGGCCGGGAGTTCGATCCCCTGACCTGCAATGCTGGCCCCATACCCAGGGCGCTATTGAGACTGGGCATGGTGGCGCACCTGTAATCCCAGCACTTGCACCTGGGAGGCTGTAATCAGGAGGATCACTATGAGTCTGATCTACACAGTGAGACCCTGTAGACCCTGTACACCATGTCCAAAAAAAAAAAAAAAAAAGAAGAAGGAAATCCTAAGCACAGAGAAAGAGCTAATGGTCATAAACAGAGGGAATAAATTGAGTAGAAATCAATAATACAGAGTGTTACATTTTTTAAAAGCAAATTCTGTTGCAGAACTGGGTTGAATTCATGGAACATAGCATATAAAATGAGCCAGAACCTTAGTGAGCGCAAAAAAAAAAAAAAAAAAAAACAAAAACCCACCAATAATTCATATTTTAGAAATGGCAAAGAAAAACAAAGAGAATTAAGTGATTATGATTCATTTATTAACATTTTAATGAATATGTCTAAATTAAAGCCTACACCCTTTTAATGTTAGAAAAATATAACCTAAGACAATTAAAGTATTGAAATAATGAGGAACATTTCAGCTCCTAAATGCATGACAGATTGAAAACATGCAAACTTTAGAGAAAATAGCAATAATTTAAATAAAAATAATTTTAAAAGAGACTAAAGACTTAAAAGCCTGACGATACACTGTCATCTTTAAAAGCAGAATTACTTCCATTTTAAGTGTATAATGCATGTATCCATTTAACAGAAGTTATATAAAAGCTGAAAGATTCTCATTCTAAATAAACTTTGGACCATAATCACCTAATAATGAATGTTATAATTTTATATTTTAACTTTATGATTTTATCAGCATCTATATTTAATGTTCAAAATATATGCTGTAATTTCATACCAAATAGATATGGTGTAAAGATTTTATATTTCCTTTGAGAGAATTTGTGCCAAAGTGAAAGACTACCACAAGTACTTCAAAATTGTATCTAGTCCACCTTGTTGAGAAATGTATAACTTTAGCATATATATATATATATGTAAATATTTGTGTGTGTGTGTGTGTGTGTGTGTGTGTGTGTGTGTCTGTGTGGTACCAGGGATTGAACTCAGGACCCTGAGCTTGCCAGACAAGTGCTTATTCTACTGAGCTATCTCCCCAGGCCTTCAGCATATATATTATAAGCATATATATTATTTACAAGAGTTACATATATGTTATAAGTATATATATTACTTATAAGAATTACAAAAGATAGGAACTGTGAGATTCTTGCAGCCTATTTCAAGAGCTGTATTACAGCATACCACAACCCTAGGCACATTTGTAAACCAAATTCTCCACTCAGCTCTTGCAGATGTAATCAGTATTTTCAATTTCAAACAACAGAACAAAATAGCGACTTTGTAGAAGAGGCTGTAGTCCCTTTTCGTGAGAAAACGCTGTGTGTATGTGTACTAGAATAAGAATTTGGTTCCTACAGCATGATGAGAAATGGACTGAGAACAGGATTAAGAGTTAGAAGACACAGGTCCTGAGCTCCATGATTAAACTGATGTGTATTTCTTATCCAAGTTTCCACCCACAGGTTGTTGAGGGTAAAGCACAAGCTGTCTTGAGCTCTATGGAAAGATGTTTGTTATTGTTGCTTTTCCATCACTGAAGAACTTAAACCAATTCATTTGTTTTCTTCTTGACTCTTATTACAAAATAACCCATGTCCACAATCTTTCTTATACGCATCTTCTATGATAGAAGTCAATCTCTTGCATAGTCTGTAATCCTGAAAGCCATCCTCACATCCAAATCAACAAATATTTGCGTTCCTATGGTGCAGCATGATGTGGTCAGTGAAAAAAAGTTTAAAAGTGTGCCTTAGTGGATGCAGGCTGCTGTAATGAGATTCCATAAACTGGGGAGCTGTCAAGCAATAGAAGTTTCTTCTAGATGTGAAGGCTTCGGGGCACTGGCAATTTGGGGGAAAGTCCCTTTTCTGGCTCATAGATGGTGTCCTCTTGCTAAAGTCTCACCTGGAGGAAGGGGCGGGTATTTGCTCTTGGACCTGTTTTATGAAGAAATTATCCCAACTCAGGAGGCTTTACCCTCAAGACCCCATTATCTCCCAAAGGCCCTGTCCTCAGCACTATCACTTTGAGGGTTAGGATTTCTGCCTGTAAGTTCTGGGGAGAAGTCATTCAGGCCATTGCACTACTGGTCCTCATCTTGAGGAGCAGCTCATGCTAATTGCTAAGACAATATGCCAGTCAGTGGAATCAGAATTTTATCAAAAGTTAAATAACAGTTTGAGATTTAAATAAATATCTAAAGAATAATAGTAAACCACCCCTCCCCACAAACACGTGCACTACTCCGTCTTTTCCAGTTCAATAAAGTTATTGTGTTTACTGTAGTTCCCTTAAACTATTGGTCCTCAATTTAGAAAGCGAATCTGCTTGTCTTTTCCTATATATTGTTTTTATGTTTTCACCTCTATGCTTTTGAATGTAACATATCCACTTCCTTGTCGATTTTGTAGTTTATGAAGGCTACTTTCTTCAGACCCAGCTCATAATTCACTAATGAGTCATTCACATGTGAAGAGTTGGTTGTGGCAGTGTTGTGTTTGGTCTGGTTTTGTTGACATTTATTATTTTCTTGAGTTGAAAGATCCCTGGTAAAATCATATCTGGCGTTTCGTAAAGTTTGGTTGTAGGAGTGTATAAATGTTGACAGCTAATTTACTTTCAGACCTATAACTAAATATTTTTGTCAACAGTCTTGTGATCTTACTGAAAGATGGATTGAAGATTTATTTCAGGGACTCTGTATACCTAAAAGTTATAAGGTATTTTTTGAGGTTACAAAAAGTTCCTTTAATTGAAATATTTTATTACTTTCTTCTGGGTCAGTTCAAGTAATTTTAAAATTATAAATTTATACAAATTTGACAAGTAAAAAAACAAAGAAGCAGCAATGAGAATGACCTATCATTTCACCATTCAAAGACATTTACTAGCGTTTTAGGCATAGATTGCTTATCTAATTTTATACTTTTTTGCTTACTAGCCCATAAATATTTTGCAAGTTGTTAGTATCAGAGACACCATTTTAATGGCTACAAATTTCCTTAGTGTGAGGGCCCAGAATTTATTCTCCTCTTTTGTTAAAACTTTAATGTTTTCCACACCCCTCCCAGTTTTCACCTTACATGTAGATATTGCCATAAACTTATGCAAAGTACCTGCCAGTGTTAATGTAGAAGAGATTCTTAGAGATTCAAAAGGAATTAACATTAAAATATCTTAATAGAATTTGCCCAAATTGCCTTCAAGCATGGAAAATATAAATTCCTTCCAACAGAATAAGAATGCCTGTTCCATTCCATAATTATCTGGGTTATATTTTAGCAAAATTAGTCTAACAGAGCAAGATTCACAGGGTGACTGAAAAAATAAGAAATTTTGGCATTGCTTCTGAATGCTTGGAAAACTTTACTGTGTTTCTCTGAATTCTGGGTTCTGGTTATAATAATGTCCTTTGCTTTTTTGTCTAGATTTTCTATGCAGTTCATGCTTTTCAAGCAAGAAGTACCTATGAACTGAGTCTTCAGGAATACCAACGAGTCCATATTCTTAGATTCTGTGACCTGAGTGGCAATAAAGAGTGGTGGCTAGCTGAAGCACACGGGCAGACAGGATATGTGCCGGCTAACTACCTAGGAAAGATGACTTATGCTTAAGAAGACAAAGCTTTGGCCTTTAGTTCCTGGCAAGGTCGACTGACTACCTCCCAGAACTGACCTTCGGAAACTTCTGACCAAAAGGCATGGAACTTCCAAACTACATCAAGTGCTACCACACCAAGTTTGAAGGAACATCCCCTACGTAACGGATTATTTAACAAATGTATTGCAAATGCTAAACCAACAGAAACAGAAAAGTGTGAATAGTTCAGGTGACCACCAGAAACTACTTAAAAGTAGATATCTTTTGAAAGGGTGAATGTTCTTTTATTGTCCCAAAAGGCTGGGTCTAAGAATAAGGTTTTTCAATTTACTATAAAACTTTTCTCTTACTGTATTGTTTTTGTGTTTTTCACTTCTCACTTGTACATAAACATGTTTAAATATTGTTGTAGTTTGGGGTTCTGCAAAGGGAACAATATAATACAGGACACATTTTTATGAGTATTTATATTAAATCTCCCACAGAATCATGTACAAAGTATACAAGAAATCTGTCCACATCCTAAAGACCAAAGACTCCAGCTGAGGGCCTGGGTCCCACAGTGACATCCTGCTTGTGTCCAGTTGAAGGCTTAGGGTCCCTTAACAAGGCCCTCACGAGTCCACCTGGAGACCAAGAGCCCATGACACTGTCACATGCAGGCCTGTCTCACGGATCAGCAATGGGAAGGCCCAAGGTCAGCGGTGGAAGCTAGGAAATCTGTGGCAGTGGGATGATCTGTGCTATCAAGCTGAGGGACCTGGACTGGGGCCATGAAGCAATGTCCAGAACGTAAGAACCAGAGCTCTCCCTAAAAGGACCACAGCCATCCTTAGCAGCAGTGAGGTCCCAAGCCCCTCCAATGATGAGCAAAGCCAAGTTCCCATCCGCAAAGCAAATGTAACAAGCTTCTCCAGGAGACTGAGCTATGCACCATCTTTCTCTTCGTAGCCAGGAAGCAGTGGTCGAAGTGAGAACTAGAGTTCCCCCGAAGTGAACCATAGCCATTCTTAGTGTCAATGAGGTTTCGAACTCCTTCGGTGATGAGAATAGCTGAGTTCATCACGAAAACCAGCATGACAGGCTCCTCCAAGAGAACGAACAGCTCCCTCCAGCCTCTCCAACACCTTCCAACAGCTCCCCTAACAGTCTTCTCACACCTTTCTCTCCAGTTCTCCTTTTTATTGCTGGCGGCAATCCTCAATCCACCACAAATACTCATACATTATGCAGTTTATACTTAAGTGTATCACATATTTCATACAATTGTTATCTTTATATCTGAGCATACACTAAACACACATAAGAATAGAAATCAGTTAACAGTCAACGAGACGTTTTTGACATGGCTTCTTGAATGTAAGTTCTGCACCAAAGGAAAACAGAGTAACATGACAATACCTATCATTCACTGAAGGGACACTGTATGATAGACACTGCTTCAATGCTTTGTATGTGTTGTAGTAACATATTTAATGCAACCCATAGCCAAAGAAAAGGAGTAATTCTGCCCAAGTCACATTGCTAATAAGTGGCAGGGCCAGGACTCAAAGGCCAGCACTCTATTTCCTGGGTCTGTGCTCCTGAGCATGGCCTTGGGCTCCTCCAGGGCTGCACACACTTGTTACCCGCAAAGCACTTAGCGGTACGAGTAACGAACCGAAGAGGACCAGCTATTATCCTCTCATGCTTGCCTTCATTTAGAAGTTTTTCAAAATTAAGGGCTAAAAGGACATCCATTTTCGCCCAAGAAAAAACAAATATTTTTATTGTTTTGTTAACCGTTTTGAAAGCATAATTGTTTATGAACTATGTCTGGTGATTGTTAATGAGACTGTAATGAACTATTCTTGGGTCCCTCAGTCATGAGGATAATGAATGGGAATGTGTGTTCTGTGTTCTGAGCCAAGATGTACATATTTTCAGTTGCTGATCTGTACTTAGACAAGGCAGGCATTCAGGATGACATCTGCTATCACACAATGGCCTGGGACATGGAACTCCAATTTCAGGCATATTTTCTTAAGTCACTTTATGGAACTAAAGATGGCTTTCTGTCACAGAAAAAATTAAATTACAGTAGAATGCAGTGGGTTCTTTTCAAAATCAAATTAAGTTGGACTTTCACTGTCCACATAATGCGTTAATATGGCATTACATTTTAAGATTTGTTACTCTAATTGATCCCTGTAATGGGTAACATTATATATATTCCTGAGGAAAACACACACAAAATGAAAAGTGCTACTTTTCAGAGAGTAGCTGACTCCAACACTTATACACATACATACAACCTCAGAAATACATACATACATACATACATACATGCATACATACATACCTACAACCTCAGAAATTCAGAATTACATGACAGAAAAAAAATCTGCACTTTATAATGTTCTTATAATCATTGGTCTAAAATTAGCTTTATAAAATTTTACTGTTATATAAAAGGGAATTGAAATGTGTTATGTGCATGTACTGACTCCTCATGAAGAGCTCAATCACTGTGTGATGCAAACATGCTGATGAAAAGCAAAAGCTGGGGGAAAGTAGAAATCCTAAGTTATTTTTGTGTGATTTTTCCTGCTTTGAGTTAGGCACTAAAAGAAGACACTCTCTTTTTTTTTTTTTTTTTTTTTGGATATACATTAACTTTTATGTGTTTTAACTATTCTTTGTACTAAATTTGAAAATTTAAGCCCTAGTTTGCCCAGGATAAAGCAAAAAGAAATCCAAACTTATGGCATGGTACTTGCCACAAAAGTGAAGAATCGTATAATAGTACAGCCCTGGTTTTCAGGCTGACTGAATGGGTGTACAGAGGCTGTGCAGCCGGGATGGCCCTGAGGACTGACACTTCCTGTCCAGCCTATGAAAGTCCACTCCACCAGAGTCACAGCTGCAGTCGCTGCTGAGCAAGAGCTGTAATGAAGCTGCGAGCTGCTGTTCCCACTACTGTGACAGACACCACGATTCTGCGTAGGCTTTTGCAAGACCCTCATTGTCTAAATATGTTGCTTAAAAGTCAAGGAAATAATAATTTTGAGGATCAATGTTAGTTTATTGGGCTCAAGGGAAATAGGCTTCCATGACAGTTATAAGATGTATAAATCTTTAAGAAGTTTAATAGACAAACTGCCAGTGGCATCAATATACTTAAGGGAAGGGATGCTAATTGTATTATGTTCCTTGAAAAATATTGTACAGAATGAGAGCCTCTGAAGTATTTTTTTAACCAAGAATGAAGGAGAAATTATATAGCTATTTTTTCCTTTTAAAACAAGCGTATGTAAAACATTTTGTTTAGCCTTAAAGATCCTCTAAGCTAATAGTATACAAATAGTATATATATATATGTATATATTATACATATGTATAATATATGTTTAGAAAGTATAAATATTAATGCAATTATTCAAAATTACTGTGAATGCTAAAATTGTATGAAAAAGGCATAAAGCCACTACTGAACATGATGTACATTTCAGGGAAATACCATGAACATGAAATTGAGTCCTGCAATAAGTTATAATATATATTTTTAATAAGCAACGAAACACTGTGTGACCTCCTTTCAGTGCTGGAATAGTCTAGGTCAGTCTAAAATCTAACTTGGACTTTTAAGATATCTCCTTCACTTAGGTAATTTACAAAAAAAAAAAAGCACTAGTAAAGCATGGATTAACAACTTCACTTTTCCCATTAGCTTCTTGGATTTTTGTTCACTGCAAAAAACTCTCAAAGCCATATGAATAAAATGAAAATTTTTATATTCTGACATGCTTCAAACTCCAAATTTATTTAAATCCTATTTATAGTAACTGCAGCTAATGTGCTCGTTATATAGCTAAACACTGAAAATATCTTGAACTTACAAAACTTAAACTATATAAATTTATTTTATGGTGGAAGAAATTAAATTTCATGACTAGAAGGACACGATTTTAGAAAGAGATCATTAGAGAATACTATTGTCTAAAAGTTAATTTTTTTTATATTCTAGCTATAGATATAAGGATTATTTTATTTTCTCAGAAAAATAAGTTATCCTTTAACAAATACTAGAATGAAAAATTCTTGCTTAAAAATAGGAAATACATTCTCAGCAGATTAAATAAAAATTATTTTACTTAAATACTATGATAGATGTATTTTTGGTTTTTCTCTAATTTCTTATGTACTTTTTAAAATTATTGTATTAATAAAATTTTACTGTGGTAAAATGAACTTTCTACATAACCTGTGTTCATCATAATGTAATGTATCGTGTCACTAATAAATAGTACTACCACATGTTCGGTAAGAGTTGGACTCATTTAACCTTTAAATAGATGTGTTTTGACTTACGATGGGGTTATGTTCTGATAAACCTACTCTTCAGTTGAGATATCCTGAGTTGAAAATGCACTCAATGCAGCTAGGCCCCCACCCATCCTGACACAGTTACACAGCGCACTGGAGCCAATGGTTGGTTACACATGACCTCCTGGAAGAGTGGGAGGTGCTGGTGCCTCCCCCGGCCATGCAGGACAGCAGCACGAGCACAGGGCTGGCCTAGAAGATCAAGAGAAGTTCACATTCTGCTAACCTGTATCACTTTCACACCCCTGACACACATAATATACAGAACAGAAAAAGTGATCTGGACCAAACTTTCTATAAAACAGAACTAAAAGCTTATTTAGGCACCCATTTATTACCTCTCCTCTCGTTCACTGAGCGAACAAGTAGGGAAATCTGCAGGTGACAAGGTGGTGTCAGATGGCTTCTCTCCCTGTAGACAACTTAAATTGGAGTGGGAGGAACAAAGTGTACACAACAAAACAAAGAAATGAGAAATTCAACTGCTCCTTCTCTTCACTGCTCAGCTCAAACGTTTTGTAGCTCACTTTGTGATATGGAAAAATCTGAGCTACTTGAAACAAACTCAGTAACAAATACGTCTCTATAAAAATACTCAGTTACACATATTACTAAATATGTACATAATTACATGTAGGTAATATCCTAAATATAGTCATATCCACAGAAAAGTAAGTTACTTCCTAGTCTTCCCACTAAGCTTCCTAAAATTTAATAAAATCAAAATAATTGCTTCCCTTCTCAGTTCTATATTTAGCACAAATTTTCTATGATGCAAAGGAATTTTTCTTTTTAAACACTGATATGCCAACTGAACCAATCATTACATTTATTTTTATGTGTTTGGTACAGGGTCTCACTGCAGGTCGGACTTGTAGTGATCCTTGTTTTCAGTGTCCCCAGTGCTGGGATTACAGGCTGCACCACCACTCTGGGTCATGGTGACAGGCTCAGAGGGCGGGGTTGGCACAGCACGTGGTGCTGGGGATCAAATCCAGGTACCTGCACTTGCCCAAGGAAGCGCTTATGCTGGTGCGCTATGTCGCCTGCCCTCAGATTTAATGTTTTATAAATACTGAGGTTACATAAATTGTTAAGTTTTGTCAGACAAGCTATTTCAGGCTATCCTGTTGTTTTGTCCTAACTGACTCTGAACTATACATGAATGATGATGGATTTTATTAATGTCTCTTTTACCTAAAGGGATTTGAAGATTATGCCAAATTGATGTTTTAACAGAAATTAGGGGATGGGGAGATGGCTCAGTGGAATAAGCAGTTCCCTGGCAAGCACAAGGGCCGTTCAATCCCTGGTTCCACCAAAACAAAACAAAACCCCCAGAAATCTGTCTCTCCAAAAAACTTCTGCAGGCAAATTTCAAACATATAAGCAAGCATTTACTCCATATGTAAGTAATGGAATTATCTCCATCTTGGATAATTTCCTATGAATAATTCACTATTATTTTATAGCAGTTTAAAATAATCTTTCCTTAGAAAAAGAACAAAGCTTAATTTAAACACTTTCTCTTCATAGAGATCACTTATTAGTGTATTTTAGGACATTAGAAAAGCCCAGGGACTAAAGAACGGGGTTGGGATTGGTGGTTTATACAGTGAAGACTCTTTAGCACCCACCATGGCTGACAGAAGCATGCTATGGCCCTCACGTAAATACGAGCACTTGTTGGGTTTAATCTGTACAAAGAAATAAGGTTTCCATGAATCACTGCATGGCTGCTACCCTTTTGCTGTGAATAAACCATTTCTCTGCTAAGGCTGCCTGTCTTCCCTCAGAGTATACGTGCAAAAGAACAAGCTGATTTGTTCACTTGTAAGCCAGCTCTGACCCTTACTTTCTGCATTAGGCAGTTGTTCTGTTGCTGTATAAAATCCCTTGAGGCTGATAACTTGGTAAAGCAGTAGTACCTCAGGGTCTTGGAGGCTGAAAGTCCCAACGGTTTGGTGCTGCACTAACAAGGGCCTCTGGCTGCATCAGCCCCTGGAGAGCGGCATCAGGGTCATGCACAGATGCTATGATGATTCTGGCGACAGGCTTGGGCTATAACATGGCACTCGTGACAGCCATGTTCTAATAATTATTTTCACACACTAAGGAAAGTATTAAAATAAAACTATTAGACATTTAAAGTAAAGTTTCCACATCTTGCAAAATAATATTTAATATTTTAAGTAAGAGACAATAAAGAGGGATTATCAAGACTTTTATTAAATTATGGAATCCGGCAGTCCATTGTCCTATAGTGGCCACTTCCTCTCCATGGCAATAAGACATACAACCACTTCACTTCTTGAGTTTCTTCTGGGCAGCTTTCTTCTTGACCATCTGCAAGCGCTTCATGGCGTTGAGCTGTGACTCCTGAGACGTTGGACCCTTAAGGGATGCTGAGGGCGTGCTGCTGGCTTCGGTGGTTTTGCTGGTGGAATTTCCACTGGGTCCCGATGAGCCGCTGTTTCCATTCCCACTCAGCTGGCTGCTGCTTCCTGGTACTAAACTAGTAGGACTTGGAAGACCTATCTTGCTGACATTGTCACAACTAACGGAGCGGCTAAGGCCGGTTTTGCCCAGGGTCAGAGGAGGTGGCGGTTTCAGTGACACGGTGGGGGAAGTGCTGCTGCCTGGACCTATCTTGGATCCTAGTGCACCTTTGGATGATGTCGCCAGTCCTGTCAGACCCACGGGCTTCTGGTTGGCTGCGGAGGCAGCTGGCTTCCCCCCACTGTTTTGTGTTGCTGAACTCAGTTTTGCTGTTGATGGCCCAGCAGAGGATGTTTTGGCTGCAAAAGCAGCCCATCCAGTGAGGCCACTGGTTGCAGAAGAGGAAACACTGGTGCTAGAAGAACTTCCTGATATAACGGTAGATGTCTACAAAAAAAGATAAATATTACATTAAAGCCATGCAGAGCCAAACCCTATGGTTTGCAGAATCTTGCCTGTGTAATAAGCTTTCTTGTTATACTTTTTAAACCAAAGTAATACCTTAGAAAATTTAAGCCATGCCACAAAATGATGCTCTTATGATACTGATGTGAAAAAGCACAAAGAACAAAACTTTTCTATAGGTAATGGGTGTGTAACCATTTGTAAAATAGAAATTTCTAAATGTCATTATTTTGGTTTGAAATTGCTTTTAGATTCAGTTAGAAGCCATAGCAAAATAGAAAAATAGGAATTAGTGCTTTAACTAATTCTTTTGAGCCAGAAAGTATAACCTAGCTAAGAAAGACATCTAATTCATTTTAAAAAGTAAAGCTATACTTAGTGGACAAAAATGCTCATACCCAAGATATTGTCAGGATGCCTGAGATAGTCAGAAAATAATTAGTGAGTGACTATGTACAAAAAATTTTTAAAAAAGAAAACATCTATATACAGATTGAAGGCTGCATTGAGAAGAAAAAGTTGCTACCAAATTTTGAGCCACAGCACTACAAATACATGCAGAGGTGAAAAGTCAGCTACTTGGAAGTATGTAACTCACAAGATATATTAAGGAGAAAAGAGCTCCTAAGTGAAGAGTCACACTTAATCCATGACTCCATTAGAAGTACCACGTGGCAAGTGCTTGCCTTCACCTAATGGACTTCAACTGTGAGGCCACACAGTGGAGTGGGGTGGGTCTGAGTCACTCCTGGCACTTCAGTGTCTCTGCTACCTTCTTGATTCAGCCAATGAAAAGCTCACAGTAATGATCTTATTCACACCAGAACAAACCTTGTTACTTTCATATTAGGCAAAAACCTACTTTGTTCCAATTAATTTTGAATCAAACTACTTACTGACACTATCTTCATAGTAAGAATTAGATTTACACATGAGTAAAGACTTATAAAAATACCATTCTACTTTTAAAAATAGCTGTGATAGGCTTAAAATACTGTATTTTAGAACTTTACCCTGAAAGAGTTTTTAAAACAATTTCAGCTTTTACAAAAGACCTTGAATATTGTCTGCATGGGAACATCTTTAAGCAACAGAAAAGTAATTGGATTAGAACGCTCTGGGAATCTTACATCCAAGAGTCCAGACACTGTTAATGTGCTCTGAGAAATGACAGGTTTCTTTTTATAACATCAGATGACAACCATCTCATCAGATTGTCCTGATGAGGAAAACGTTACATAAATCTTAAATGCCAGGAGAAATGCACACGGATAGTGAGACAAAGCTAGTCAAGGAAGCAAAGGAGACAAATACAGTAAATTGATTTTCAACTTTAAAAGGTTTAATTTTACCCCTTTCCTTTCTATTAAACATAAAATTGTCTGCCATATAACTAAATGATTTTTCAACAAACTACAACAAGGGAAACCCATATGAAATAATTAAAAAGACTAACACTTATGAAATATAAACAAGAAAACAAGTTGTATATGTTTGGCATTTTATTTTGATGGCTTGCTGCTACCTGGTATTACTGCTTTTCAACAAAATGACAATTGGTTTCTAATACTATCCAGAGACATAGATGTAAAATAGCACAAACAGGAGGACCAACTAATTTCTTACTATTTCAGTGTGGAAAATAAATTTCCCACATATTTTAAACTACAATTTTTTTTCATTCTAGTTAGAAAGTCATTTCCTTTTAATATGCAAGTGAAAACAAAGTTTTTTCCTATCAAAAATATATTCATTTTTAAATTTTTTTATTTTTTTAACAGTATGACAATATTTAATTCTTGAATATATATTTCCTATAAAGAACAAATATGATAAAATTAACAATGTACATGTGTGATCTAATATATTTACATGCTACTTATATTTTAAAGGTCAAGTTTAAGCATTTCACTAACATGTACTTACATGAGTCCACCTATTTATGGGGACAGTAAAAAATATATTCATTTTAATCAAAAACACCAAAGCCTCTCAGACAAAATGACAGCTGAGACTGTATTTGCCATAAAGTGATTTTATGCTGGATTTTCTAAAAAGAAACATTAGTAGTGACATGGTTAAAAAAAAAAAAACAACAACCTACCAGGAATGAGTAAGTAAAGAGTACAGTAACTCTAATTACTTTTAATAAATTATTCTTACTTCTATTGCAATTCCCAAGTTCCTATCTGAAAAAACAGTAATGGATATACCTTGGATATCAACTCTTCTCCAGTTACCTTACAAAAAAAAAAAAAAAAAAAAAAAAAAGATCAGAAAACAAAACTTGTGTCTTTCTCAGAATACTATACAGTCATACGTTCCCAGCATCATAGCAAGGTTCTTTAGCTTGCTACTTACAGCTCTTGAGAAAAGTTGTCATTAGAATTTTCTGGGATCTATCTTGGAGAATTTGGGATTGATATTTTGTTTTTTCCAAGTTTTAGTACTCCATTTATTGGAATATACACCTCAGTAAGAGTGTTCTTTTTGTTATCACCTAGACTAGATACATATTTATTGCAGGATATCCTAAGGCTTAAGTGCTATCAATAACGTAGTGATGTGAACGATGCAAACCTGGACTGAGGAAAGCGATGCTCTCTGGAGGCAGGACAGGCCCTTAGTGTAAGAAGTAGACAGGATGAAGCATTACTAAGCTATGAAAAGATAAACTCGAGGCTTTTATAGGTAAGTGGATACACCCAGAGACCATGCAAGTAAGTGAAATAAATCAACCCTGCATGTGTAAATATCATATTGTCTTGCTAATGTAAGCACCTGAAAGAGCAAATACAATCTGAATGGTGCAACAGATACCCCAAAATGGACAGAAACTGTTCAGAGGAAAAGGACAATTGGTAGGAGGGAGAGGACAAAAAAAAAAAAAAAAAAAAAAAAAACCAAACAGAAAAAAGACAGGGGAAAAAAAAATATATATGTAAAGGATAGCTTGGACAATTGTACTACTGATTTCTGCTGGTCTATTGAAAGGAGCAGTTAATGCTTAAATTGTTTTGTTCTCCTTTTTAATTTTTAAAATTTGTTAAATTTGATACAGGGTCTTGGTACACAGTTCAGATGCATAGTGATCCTCCTGTCTCAGCCTCCCCAGTGCTGCGATTACAGGTGTGCACCACCATGCCTGGTTTCGGGGCTGGCATGGCATGTGGTACCAGGGATTGAACTTGGGTCCTTGTGCTTCCAGGCAGGCACTGAGACTGCCAAGCTATCTTCCCAGACCTCTTTAAATTTTTTATAACTTTTTCTGACCAATTTGCATGCTCATATCTGATAATCTGAAGAACTAATTTGAACGACAATATGCAACTTAACAACCGTTGCTGAATTTGTATCATTTTGTTTAGTGAAATTTTGTATTGTTTCTAATTTTTTTTCTTTTTACTATTTTTTCTTGTTAAAAAACAAAATCTAAAAATAAAAAGAGAAATTTCTTGGCAGTAGAAGAAAGAAAAAGAACAAAACAGAGTAAGAAAACTTCTTCAGTAGCTAAGAAGTAAGAAGAAAAAGCGTGAAGAGGCCAGGTGGCACAAGCAGCCCAAGGAGCAGAATCCCGGCCACTGCAGGAAGAGGTATTCAGAATGTAATGCAAGTTCCTGATCAAATGAAGACCTGAGTGTGGATGCAAGCAGAAGCACTGTACCTTGACTTCTGTCCTCTTGAACGCTAAGAAGGTGGTCTCTTGCTTGAGCTTCGTTTCTGGTTTCTTAACCAAGGGATCCTTGACGGCTGGGGCTGTGGACACCACTGTAGGAGCTGGCTTCTGTGGGGGCTTCTGAGTTTTCTGAGCCTGCAAAGGTCAGTGAATAAATTGGATACAAAATCGTAATTGACTATACAAGAAATATAATTAAACTTTATTATAGGACAAGTTGTAGAATGGAAAGAGTTGAAAATTTAAAAAAATAAAAGACTGCTTGTCATATTATTAATAGTTTTAGATTTCAATAGTTTCTCAACAGTAATGATAATAGTAGACATTAGAAATCATGCAGATTACTGCTGGTTAAATACCATCTTAACAAGATAAACCCAACTATTTTGAAAGGAAATTCATAAGCTTAATATAGCATCCTTGGTGCAAGGCTCTGGCCTGCCCCACCCCACCTCAACCCCATTTCCAAAATCTGTGGCTGCTCAAATCCCTTATAGAAAATGATATAGGGTTTGCATATAACCTACACATGCCCTTCTGTTAGCTTTACATCATTTTTATTATACCAATATGATATATATGCTATGTAAGAACATGCTGTATTCAACCAAGAAAAAAAATGTCTGTGTTGACTGCCAATGCAATTTTCTCCTCCAGGCTAGAGTTGGTTTACTCCACCGATGCTGCACCTATGTGCACAGCAGGCCAACCGTGTGTGTCAGCTGTGCTCCTGAGCTCTCCTCACTGCGAGGTACCTTTCACACATCTCATTAGAGAGTGAGCCAAACACTGCCTTCACAGGGCCCAGGCAAAAATCTCTGGTGACTGTGGGTGAGTGAAAAACAAATAATTTATATGGTCTTAAATACAGATAGAGAAAGGTAAAAACACTACTAGTGAACCTTTCTGACACTGTCCCATATTGCACAACTAGATAAATCAGGTCCTTACAGAAAGTTCTTAAGTACAAATTTCTGATGTCAAGGAAGAATTTTATCCACTCTTCCTTTATTGAAACAAAAACTAGCTTTACTTGGATGCACAGTTGATTTTTTTCATTATTTTTAACTAAATATATTAGTTTTGTTATGAACGCTAGTCACTTTTCAGCTTAGCTTCTTAGCACTTTACAAGTATAGAGTAAAAGCTACTACATAGTATGAAGCAGTGTTTGAGAATATTTTGGGGAGTCACCTGAACTAGGGCTGAAGCCTGCCTCACCTACTTCTGCACCATCTGTCTAAACAGTTGGTCTGCAGGCATGAGCTGTAATCACATAAAGAGTTCAGCACACGTCTTGCACATGCCAAGTGCTGGGAACAGCAGTTACCATTTATTCCTCATCATTACTTGAGATGGATAAGGAAATGGAGTGCAGAAGCTCTTGTTCTCCGGGCAGCTATCACACAGTCACTGTTAATCTTTACAGATCCACAGTTACACTGGGAGCTTACAGACTGGTCTGAGTGTTGATTTCTGGCACTAAATCTACAGTTCCTCTTAGCTCACAGTGAAAACAACACAATTCAAAAGTGACCTGTCTGGGGCTGGGGAGATGGCTCAGCAGAATAAGTGCTTGCCTGGCAAGCACAAGGGTCTGACTTCAATCCCAGTTCCCCCAAAAAAAAAAAAAAAAAAAAAAAAAGTGACCTGTCCCGAGCTCTGCTTTGATGCTATACTAAGGAATGAGACCTGCCCATCCTGACAAATGAATTGAACATTTAATTGGCAAAACAGATAAAAAGTAACTACGCTAGTGTGCCAGAGAGATAGCTCAGCAGCTTAAGTGGCTATCTGGCAAGTGCTAGGTCCTGAGTTCAATTTCCAGTACCAAAAAACAAAAAACTACGCTAGACAAGAAGCAGATGCTTGGAAACAAAACATATGGAATACGAACATTCAGAGCATGTATAGTTAGTGTCATATCACATCGGTGCATGGTGAAGCACTGGGATAAAAGCAGTAGGTCAAAAAGAAAGGGACCATTCATATATATATATATATATATATCCAAAGGAGTCTAATCTCATTAGATAAGTAACTGAGAGCCCCTCAGAATACTGAAGCAGATGAAATATTTAGGTTAATTCTAAATGTGCTTGAAAAGAAGTAAAGAAACAACTCTACCTCCTCTTCTCCCCAACACCTCTCCTCTTCCCCTTCTTTTTATTTTTCTTCAGTACTAGTTGTCATTCCTAGCCTTTATCCTAAGCACAATCTCCAGCCCTTTGTATTTTTATTTTTGAGACAGGATCTCACCACAGGAAAAACTGCTAGGTTTCCCAGGCTGGGCTTCAACCTGCCTTATTACAAGCAGGAACAAAGAGGAACAGAGAGGTGAACAGACAGGAATGCATACAAGATGGTTTGGACTTTTGGCATACAAACATAAATTACATATGCATACTATGTACACAAACATTTAAATAATAAGCTTATAGTATTTGCTTTCTCAAAGTGTTAATGTCCAAATATTTATCCTGAAAGCACTTCATCAATGAAAAAGCATCAAAGACTATTTAAAACAGAGAAAACTGTAATTCCTACCATTCTCTTCATCTGCCGGGTGCATCGGGCACAATACCACACCAGGCGAGGGTCATTCACTTCCTTGTCCGTCACCTGAGGCTTGTGGCAGTCCTGGTGGTAGAGATTATGGCACTCCTGACATTCCACTAACTGATTACCTGATGCCACTGTCATCTGTCTAAGAAAAACATACCATTAAACATTATATATTTTTGGATAAAACAATTCAAAGTTATTGCAGGGTTGTTCTAGTAAAGCTCTATATAGTAAAAGTAAAAAACCAGAAAAAAACAAAGAAAACTGTGAACCCGAACAGAAACTCAGCACAAACACTTCATGTCTCTGAAGTTTATGCCCAACCATAAATACATCCAATGCTGGCAGCTGGGCTGTATTCTTGGGCTCTTTTTCTTCCTCCCAGAGGGCAAGAGACCTTGATTCTGACCGCCTCAGGAAACAATTCTACTTTTTCTGTTACACTCCTTATGCTAGGTGACTGCACTTCTTTCTTCATTAGGAAGAGTTACCTGAAGGTGGGTCTCAGCCTAACTATCCATAGAGCTTAGGTAGCATATGGTTCTTCACACACAGGGTGTTCGACTAATATCTCATTAGCTGACCAGAATGTAAAAAAATAGCTTTCAGGATTGTGGAAGTTCTGACAACACAAAAAGCAAACTCCACAGTCTTAGATTACCACAGTAAGGCTCATGAGGAAGGGCTACATTTACTAGTTCTCTTCCCATTAACACCCTACCATTAATCACTGATACCTGCTGGGAGTGGCTAAAGCTGGAAAGTGATCACACGTGTGAGGGCAGGACAAAGCCACAGTGGCTAAAGCAGTCAGGCTACCTCAGTCTTGCGAAAAGCATCCTGCCTGGACAATTTTAGTCATTAGTTGCTAGGCAACCCTATGTCTGCTGATACTAACTATGCAAGAACACACATAAACAGCCTTACTGTTGTTATTTGAATCCTTTGCCCATCAGGCAAACATGCTCCCACCTGAAGCCAGCTCTCATCTCTTGTCTATCTTTTTCTCATTCCTGCCGCAGTTTCTCCCTGGAGTAAACTGAGAGACCGACAAGTCCCTACAATAACTTTGATGGTAGATAATAGTGGAAGTAACCAAATACATGTGAAACCCAGGAAGTCCCAACCCCTGACCCTACTCAGAAGCATATCTTGCTCACAGCACACCAACTCTCTTCAGGGACACAAGCCCAGTCAGTCCTCATGAACCAGGGTTTATCATTTCTGAGGCAAAGAACACCAGAAATGGCAATCTTTTTTATGTGTCAGTCAATGAAAACCATTAATAATTAAAGACTAGAACTGGGGAGATAGCTTGGCAGTCTAAGTGACCCCCTAGCAAGTGCAAGGATCCAGGTTCGATCTGCCGTACTGCATGCTGTGCCATGCTGGCCCTGGAACCACAGGAGCACTGTGCCAGCCACAAAAACTGGGTGTGATGGCACATGCCTGTAATCCCAGCAATGGGGAGGCTAAGACAGGAGGATCACTACAAGTTTGAGCTGTATAGAAAGATCCTATACCAATTAATTAATTAAAAAATATTTAAAAAGTAATTAAAGACTAGCTCTTGACATGGAGTTCAAAACCTAGTTATTTCTGATTTTAAAACTGTATCCTCTACTAACAACAGAACTAGTTGTTTTTATTTATTTATTTTTTGTGGAACCGGGGATTGAACTCAGGCCCTTGCGCTTGCCAGAGAAGCACTTATTCTACTGAGCCATCTCCCTGGCTCCAGTTTTTATAATTATGTATTTAATGGTTAAAGCATCACTCAGAATAACCTACATTCCTTTTATTTTTACTATCTTTAAGAAAATATTTAATTGTGTTTTAGGAAATATATAATTTTATTTTGAAAATATACAATTTTAATAAGTGCTAGCAAAAATTCTGAAAAAAATGGCAACACAGACTTCTTAAAAAGAAAGAAATAAGTCAGTCTGCTGAACAGATTCCTCCACACTAAAGCATAATAATAAACAATGTCCCTCCAGAACTCAAGAATGCAGAAAATAGATTAAAGAAGCAGTAGTCCGGGCTTCAGGGCTGGGGTGCAGCTCAGTGGAGGAGCCTCATGTGAACAAAACCTAAAAGCAACCACAGCAATATAAAATCCATAGCCAAAGTCAGGAAGATAAAATATTTGACAATTTTCTAGATGTTATATTGTTACATGGGAAGTTCATAAGACATAATCTATTTCTTTTGCATCTTCCTAAAACAAAAATTAAGAATTACAGAGACATTTTTGTGGAGGGAGCTGTTTGCTGTTTTTCAAAGAAACAACAGAATCTGTAGCCAGGTGTGACTCACCGACAAACAACACAGGCCAATCCCATCTCCATCGCAAAATCATCAGCGCTTGTCTCCTCAAAGCTCGAAAGGTCAGCCATAGCTAAATCCTTGCTGGTCTGGACAGTAATGGGAGAGGATCGTGTATCTGGTTTCTCCAATCTAGGTTTCTTTGGAATATCAGCTCCTTCAGTGATGTCTGACTTCATCTGCACCAAGGAACCAATCAGAAAATGATAATTAAAATGAATATAAATTATAAATCACCAAGGCAAAAGGTGGATGGTATACAATGACCAAGTACATTTATAGGTATTTTTGTAGTTTGAGATAGATGTACAAATAAAGATCTGTAGAACAACATTTCATTTACAAGCAGTATGTTCAAAAAAAACCTTGCAAGATAGAAATACATGAATCAAAACATCTTAAGTCTGTATTTATATTTCTCTTTGTACTCTTTTATCTACTATGGAATTTTTAGAAGTTCAATGAATTTTCTTACACTATTTTTTTCTAACAAGATGCTTTAACTTGAGGAATCACAGCATTAATAAAGCTATTTTTATTTTAAATATCCTAAATTATGAAATGATATTTAAAATGAATTGAAACAAGTAATAATCTTTCTTATAGCCATACAGAATTAGTACATTGACATATTTTCTTCCAACTGATTTGGCTTCTTTATAAGTATTTTTTTTTTTTTTTAACATATTTTAGGGAAGGGTCTACAGGGTGTTCAGGTTCTCACTACTAGATCGGACTCATAGTTATCTGCCTATTGACAGCCTCCCAAGAGCTGGGATTACAGGCGTGCACTACCACGCCCAGTCTCAACTGCTGTCTCAGAGCCACGGGGGTGGGGCTGGCAGCAGGCCCGGAGATTGAACCGCTGGCCCCTGAGTCTGCTTGCAGGCCCTTTAATCCGCTGAGCTATTTGGCTGGCCCTTATTAAGTATTTTAGATAAACCTGTTAGACTGGCAAAAATTAAATTCTGATAAGACTTGGAGGATTTGTAATTTTCATATAGTACTTTAGTGGTAAAAATATACATTTAGTATCTCTGTTTGAATAGCAACTTAGCAATGCCTAGGAACGTAGAAGACGTACATACCCTCTTACATATGTAGATATACATCTTATAAAGACTATGACCATGTCCCCAGAAGGTATGCATAAAGCATCTCAGAGCTCACTGACGCTCCAAAGCAGAAATAAGCCAACTGCTCCTCAGTAGGGGAACAGATACACACATACATTCATAGAATGAATATGACATGGTTGCTAAAAGAAATACTTAGATCCACAGGTATCAATATCAACATAAATTTCAAAAGCATATTACTAAGTAGAAAAACAAAGGACACAGAAAGAGATTAGAAATGAGCATTTAATCTTAATTTTTTGTTTTTGTTTTTTTGGTCTTTCAACTTTTTTTCCTTTTTCTCTCTTCTTAATTTCTTATAACTTTTGGTTTTTTTCCTCCACTTTTGCAGGTATATATCTGGTAATCTGAACAACTAATTTGAAGACAACAGTATGCAATACACAAATACTGTCAAATTCATATTATTTAGTTTAGTGAAATTCTATATCATTTGTATTTTTTTGTTTCAATACTATTTTGTACTCTTTAAAAAATAAAAAAAATTTAGGGGGCTGGGGAGATAGCTCAGTGGAATAAGCACTTCCCTGGCAAGCGTAAGGGCCTGAGCTCAATCCCTGGTTCTGCCAAAAAATAAATAAATAAATAAAATAAATTTTAAAAAAGGACATAAAACATAGAATACCATTTGTATAAGTTTAAAAACATAGGGGCTTGGGAGATAGCTTGGTAGAGTAAACGCTTGCCTAGCAAGTGCAAGGTCCTGAATTCAATCCATGGTACTGCAAAAAAAAAAGCTTAAAAGCATAAAAATAATATTCAATAGTTGATGAAAAGCTACTACTTACCAAAAGGAAGGAATATATGGGATAATATACTCCACTTTTATAGCAAGGATCACTGAAGATTTTTTATTAATTGCTAAAATCTTAATATTCGCAGAAATCAACCAAAATATATAGTCCAAGAACTATCTATGGCTCTATTAAGGTCCTTGCCTTCAAGAATAAGGTTCCACTTTTCTTTTTCTTTTTTTTCTTTCTAGACAAGCTTTTGCTCTTGTTGTTCATGCTGGCTTTGAACTCATATGTATGTGCTACCATACCCAGGTATTCTCTGTTTTCACTTTTTTTTTTTTTAATTTTCCACATTTTATTTCTACTACTCAATAAACATCCTGACAAGAATCTCTAAGATATGAAGTATACTTCTGAAATTAATATACACAAAGGGCTCAAATATTTGATAATGCTTCAATAAATGGTTAATAAAAAGTTTCCAACTTGTACTCTCTTTTCAACAAGTCAACATATATGGCCATTAAAATGTATCTTCTGAGTGATTATTATATACTTAAAACTATTACATAAAAGTACACATAAAACATAGTTCCTTTCTGCCCATGGAACAACTGACTTGCTTTTTCATAAACTAAGTTAGAATAAAAGCTTACTTTATCAGCAGGCCTCTTCTCAGCCTCCTTCTTGGCCTTGTCAGTTGAAAGGACTTTGCCATTGTTATTGCCAGAAGGAAGACTAGATGACGTTTTGGGCTCTTGCTTAATAGAAATAGATTTTGTGCTTGAAATTTTGGGTGGTTCCACATCCTAAAGGGTAAAATTAAAAGACACCAGTACTTACTCAGACAGTTCACAAAGTGAAAAAGAATACATAGGAAATTTAAACAATTTTAAGCTGAAAAGGAAGATACCATGTTACAGGCAGTGCGGCACACTTTTGGAGTGGCTGTACTGAGGTAACTGGTGCACAGTGCAGAGCCCCTAAGTTTAGACATGATGCTGCCCCAGCTATAAGACAGAGGCTGCGTGACACCAACTCCCTGCAGCCCTGGCATGGAGTCTGGGGCTGGATGTTGTCACGAGCTTCTGACTAGGACCAGAACTTGTCAGTGCCCTTCACCTGCTTCCCAGTTAGTACTCAGGTCCCCAATCTGGAGTGACTTGGAGATTCAGGACTAGAGCTTAAGAAGGGCTGGGAAAAGTCTTAGAAGGTATTAGCGAGAACACAACATGTGCTGTCATAGTCCTATTATATCCAGTAGATACTACACCACTTTATATACTCTATCTGTAACATAGTTCTTATGTCACCAATAAACAAAAAGAGATAGGTATTTCTTTTTGGGAAAACGAAGAAAACAAAATATACCTATACCAAACAATTGTTATCATCTAAAATTATACACTTAAACCATTTGGACTGCATACAGAAAACATTCATGATACAGTATCATCACAGTGACTCTAAGAGATAGCCTGAGATTTTATTTATTTATTTGATGCAGGGTCTTGCTACACAGTTCAGACTTGTAGTGAGCCTCTATTCTCAGCCTCCCCAGCACTGGGATTACAGGCGTGGGCCATCATGCCTGGCTTCAGGGTGGCATCGGTGCCAGCATGGCATGCAGTACTAGGGACGGAACTCAGTCCCTTGCTTGCCAGGCAGGCACTTAGGCTGTGAGCTATCTGCCCAGATAGCCCAGGATTTTAAAAAGATTTCATATTGCAAAACAGGATTCTCATCCCGCAAAGCTGCCTATCCTTGGCTACTCTGTTATTATTAAGACTGGAGCTACCCAGTTCTAACTTCACCCAAACCTTCTTTTTCTCTTAATTCATCCTATTTGTATTTAATTTACTTTGTTGAAAAGTTGCTTTGCTTCATTATTTTTTGTCCTTAAAACATTAGAGAATAATTAAAAGTTGTGGTTAAATTCAACTGCTTTAAAAAAAATTCTGATCATAAATAGCTGGAAATTGAAGTAAATCATTAAGAAGTTGGTTTCTACACAGATCAAGAAGTAAGATAGAATATCCCCTGGCCAAACTAACTGTTCTGTGTGGTGTAAAGGAAAATTTCTCTGGAAGGAAATGAACACATATAATGATATCTTTGTGCCACAGGAAAGATTATCGCTGACTACACTGCAAAACTCTCTCCAAGCTTTTTAATTCATGCAAGTACCTTCTGCGTTGGACGGTAACTTGAATCACTGCCCCGAGCCAAAGACTCATCCAGCAATGCTTTTAGCTTTTCAGCAGAATCTTTACTCTTGGAATGTAAGAAACCTAGTGCTTTCAAGAAAATGGGATCAAGCTCTAAGTTCACAGCTGTGGCCATTGCAAACACCTGGAAGAGAAATAAAATGAGAAGGAAGTAATTTAGAGACAATATACAATGGTACATAATAGTTGTATCTACTTGGTTCTTTTGTTTACACTGTGACAGATACTGTGCGCAATATAAAATTTAAAATAGCCAAAAGCTTATTACAGATAAAAAGTAAACTTCTTCCTCATCACTGCCTGTCATTATCTAGTTGCCTTTTTTCCCTCCTGAGGCCACTAGCTTGGTCAGTTATCTGTGTGTGCACGTAGTAGACTAAGGTTTCAGCGCAGGTAAGATCTCTGTGCTGCCCTTGCTAGCTGTTCTCAAACACACCAGCAGCTTCAGCACGCAGAACTCGGCTGCGCCCAGGTCAAGTTTACTGTTCAGGGTCACTTCCACAGTGTGTTACTAGAGAAGTTTCTCTAATCCTGGAGGGGTACCAAATCGGATTTCCCACACAAAGGCAAAGATTTAGTGTATATGTGAATGCACTGTTGGGGCTGGGGGTATTGCCCAAGGGCAACTGGTAAAAGGCGCATTAAATGACTGGCTACCCAGTCCAGCAGAAGGTTTGACTTCTCTCTCTCTTCTGCAGTCCTTTGCCCCAACTGTTGAATGTCTCAGAAAATGCATTCAAGACAACCTTGTCAGATCACAGGCTGTGGTATCTCATGCATTAACCTGTTTTAAAAGGCAAAGGCTTTCGGGGCTGGCTCCACATCCTCTACAAAGACCTCCCAGGACCCAGAGTGAGCTCTGTGGCCCAGGAGCCCAAAGTATAACTGAGACAATCGGAGACAGACATCAAAGGCTTTGGAAATTCTACAAAATTAAAAAGTTTTGTTTTCAGTTAACACCAATACTAGCAGGTGGTTCTACTGGTTGTCATTTTTTCAAATGCTTCTCCAGGCAAGGAACTACTCACAGAAAAAATGTATTCTTTGTATTCAATCCTTTGATCAACATACTGCCATTTGAAATCCTCTTCCATCCTCGAGGCTAATATTATAATAATGCAACACACGTGCACTGGTACAGCTGAGGATGTCAGCAATTCCACAGTAATCTCACACTTCCAAGGGCTTATAACGCCATTAAAACTTGCTCTAGGTTGAATCTTGGCATGTGAAGGTGCAGGCTAAAAATGGATTGTTTATTCCTTTCTTTGTCATCCCTTTCCAAATATGATAGTAGAGACACAAACAATCCTAGGCTTATTTTAAGTTTCCAAGAAGGTATTAATTATCTATTTGATAACCTCAAAATTATCAAATTGTTTTTTCTTAAAATAAAACTTCCTCAGAGCGTAATGTACTTTTGTGGTTTTTCCTTTCATTCCTTCTGTTTCTTCTCTCTCTCTCTCTCTCTCTCTCTCTCTCTCTCTCTCTCTCTCTCTCTCATGTATTTGCTTGTTGCAGGGGCTCACTATAGAGCTCAGACTCATGGTGATCCTCCTGCTTTCAGCCTCCCCAGCACTGGGATAACAGGTGTGCACCACTATGCCCAGACTCTGGCTGGCTCAGCAAGCCAGGGCTGGAGTGGCATGTAGTGCTGGGGATTAGACCAGTTCCTATGCTTGCCTAAGCAGGTGCTTTAATCCACTGAGCTATCTCTGCTGGGCCCCATTCCTTCTGTTTCCTACCACAACTGTCCTCCAGTGCAGCCCCCTATAACACTGAGGGGATTTGGAAATATGGAAAAGGTTGTAAAAGCCCCCATAGCCCTTCTGCAGGAAACTCAGAGTGGGTCCCAGAATCTGTGTTAAACTTACACCAGGCAATTCTGATCTGCTCTACACTTTAGACCTACTGTCCTAGACAATGTGATCTGGTTTTGGTTTTGCTTTTGCAAGTGATAAGTTTGTCTCTGCTGCCCATGTATCTCTTTCCAGATCTGCCAGCTGGACTGGGCTGTGTCATTGGGATCACCTATGGAAGGGACATGTCCCTCACACAGCCGTTCATATCGTCCTATGCCTTAGACAGTTCCTCTAGAAACCCCTTCTTGATATATCTATTCTACTGCTCCTGCAGAAACCTAGGAAGCAGGTTTAACCTCTTCTCCCCTTTGTATGTCAAATCCATTTACCTTCTCTATTCACTACTCATTCCACTCAAAACCAGTCTATCCTCATCTATTATCTGGCCCCCAAAACTACTCGTTTACCTCCCAATTTTTTCATATTGAGTCACTTATCTGAAGTACTTTACTCACTTCTCATGGTCCAATAGCACTGGCTCAAATGTTCCATGTCATATCCTTGCCACCTGACTAATCTCAAGTCCCTGCTATATACCTTTCTTTCCTCAATGCTTTGGTAACAAATGTGCTGTACCTGTCTTAGTCATACAAGTCTCAGTTTTTTTCTGTACATTTCCTCAACAGAAATAGAAGTCTTCCTGTGACATGGTGCAAAAGCATATACCAGTAACAGGCATCACAGCTATGGAAACAGTGCCTGTTTCATAGGTCAATGAATACAAGTAGAGACTGTATTGGTAAGTGAAATAAATCAGACTCACATGCACAAACATCATATTGTCTTCCTGGTGTGAACCTAAGAGTAAATACAGTCTGAAAGGTACAATAAACACTGTGAAAGGGGAAGCATTTGTTCAACAGGAAGTAAAAACTGGGATGAGAGAAGGAACAAAAGAAAGAAGGGAAAAAGATATATATTGTACTGCTGATCTCTGCCAGTCTTGAAAGTAGTTACTGCTTAAAATTTTTTTTTTAATTTTTTACAACTTTTTGGTTGTATTTTGTTTTTTTTAACAAAATTTTGCACATTTACATCTAGTAACTGAAACAAGTAATTTGAAGATAACATCATGTAATAGAATAACCACTGTTCAATTTCTATCGCTTTGTGTAGTGAAATTTTGTATTGTTTCTAAGGCTTTTTTTTTTTTTTTTACTGTTTTGTATTCTTTAAAAAAAAATTAAGAAAAGAAACAATGCCTATTTTTCTCATTAGAATGTAAATGCCACAAGGGCAGACACTGGATTGTTTTTACAACTGTGGCAACCTGTGTCTACTACAGTGCCTGGCAGACGGTGAGTACCCAGTGAGCACAGGCAAATTAAATATCCATTAGGTACCCCCACTTTAGGAAGCCCTCCTCTTTGAGCTCAGGCTGGTTTTCCTCTTGTCTCTGGTTACTCACTGTGCCCATCTCTTCATCTCTGTTGTTTTCACTATTGCTCAGCTCTATCCTTGCCTATCTTCTTTAGTTCTGTTACCACTGTTTCCCTTGGTAACACTGTACACACTATGTCTTCAACAATGACATGTACACAAGTGATTTCATATGTGCTCCCCTTTGGCTCAAATCCTATATCTCTCTCTTTCTCTTTTTGTAAAATGTACTTGGTACAGCGTGTCACTAGGCAACTCCAACTCATGGTAATTCTGCTGTTCTCAGCCTCCCCAGCGCTGGGATTACAGGCGTGCCGTGGGTGGGGTGGGGGTGGGGGTGCAAGTGGGGACGGGGCCAGTGCAGCCTGTGGTACTGGGGATTGAACCCAGTCCCTGTGCTTGCCTACGCAGGCACTTATTCTGCTGAGCTATCTTGCCAGTCCCAAATCCCATACTTCTAACTGTTTAGTAGACATCTTTACCTGGTTGCCTTAGCAGTATCTAAAATTAAGTTATAATTATAACTGAAATAATGACTTATCCAGAAAAGTTCCTTTTCTTGTACTTTATTTCAATAACTAACAAAATTCTGTTAATCAGGTATGAGACCAAAATCTTTCCTACATGGTGCCTGTCCCTACTACTCACATCCAATCACTGGGGATTTCTTGTCGATTCTCACTCACCAACATTTTCCGTGTCTCATTCTCAATTGCACTGATACCATTCAAACTCTAGGGTAGTTTATTTCAACGAGACTAATTCTAGTTATTGTCCTTTAACACTAGCCATATTAATTTTCTGAAATTAAGTTTTTTTCCTTTTCATTTGTATTTTCTTGCTGAAAAGTTAACACTTCCCATCACCCTCAAAATATAGTCAAGTGCAAATTTCTTAGCCTAGCATTAAAGATCATTAACTGACAAAAATTGCCATTCATTTCTCATATATTCCTTACAGCAGAGCTCTAGCAGGTACATCATTTTTTTTTCTCCATCTGAGCTTTTATCCTTTTTCATATTTCCAAATCCTTTCAAGAACCAGTTCAAGGGGGCCGGGGAGATGGCTCAGTAGAATAAGCACTTCCCTGGCAAGTGCAAGGGCCTGAGTTCAATCCCTGGTTCTCTGGGAGGTGTGGGGGGGGGGGTACAGTTCAAGGGCCCAGGGAGATAGCTCAATAGAATTATGCACAGGGTCCTGAGTTCAATCCCTAGTACCTGGGGTGCAGGGGCAAAAGCAAAAACCAGTTCAGATGTAACATCGAATGAAAACTGTGACAGCTGAGCTTTTTCATCCCTTATCCTACTAGCAAGCTCTCCTCCTAGTGTACTTTCTAGTGTCTTTTCATGATACCTGGACTTCCTATGTTAATACTCTTGCACAAGTTTTACACTACTCTTAAGGGTTGGGGAGAGCATCCCACATAGTTCTAGTCACTTGCCAGCTCATTTCTGCATAAAGTACAAAGGAAATAGTCTCCTACTCCTAAAAAACAAATATCAAAAAGCAAAACAAAACCACCAGTTTCATGACTGGGAATTTGTACTGTATAAAGTTTATAACTACAATACTCTTAATCCTTCACTTGGCTTAAATTCATTAATCCCAGTAGGGTGTAAACTAATTGAGCAGGTACTTTTTTGGTTGTTGGTGTTCACTGTCATTTCACGAATCCTTGAAATTTGACAGGTGCTTAAATACTTACTGAAGGAATGATTCAGGTTTCTACTTACATGGTACTTTCTGGGCTTCCACGATCTTTCCAACCTAAATTGAGCATTCATATGTAAATTTATGCATTCCCTTGTATCTCAATGTCCACCCTACCTACCCATCGCAGAGTAAGTCTAAAGTCGATCCTCCGAATGCGCCCGAGGCAAAGGAACCCTACTGTACTCAGGAGCAGCGCAGTCTTGGCTTTGACATCTCCTAACAGCTCCGGAGAGCCGTCCTGTCCCGTCCTCACAAGCTTCTGCAACCCTTTTCCAATCAACATTCTTTCAAAGTCTTTCCACAGAGTACCTGGGCCTGGGTTATAGATACCTTAGGGACCCTCCTGGGAAGGCAGGCCAGGCGACTCGGGCACCGATTCCAACGTGATCCGAGCGGCTAGCGGCCAGAAGCGCTGGGAGGGACTCGGGCGGGGGCAGGCGGCTGGCTGAGCCCCGAGAAGGGAGGCCGGGGCGGGCTTCCAGCTCCGCGGCCCCACGCCGCGTCCTCACCTGCGTGTCCCGTCCACGTCGCCCCGGGAGAAGGCTCAGCCCTCTCCGAAAGCGTAGAGCAGCCAAGCCGGGGCGAGCAGCCCCCTACCCACGCCCCAAGTAGCGAGGCTGTTGTTCCGGCAGCGCGGCGGCCAGGACCCCACAGGCTCCGTGGCGAGCCCCGAGCATCCGCGCGCCTACGAGCGCGCCGCCGGCGCCACCCACCCTTCCGCCCGCCAGCCCGCCGTCCGGGCCGGGGTCACCCCGAATCGTTCCCCGCGCCGCCGGCTTCCGAGTGTGGGAAACAAAGGTTCCGCCTTGGCAGAGAGACAGTAGGAAGTGACGCAAATCACCGGCTTCCGGTCCGCCGGATTATGAATGAGTGGTGGCGCGGTAGTCTTCTCCACGAGCTGCCTGTTTTTCTCCCTTCGCGGCTCTGGAAGCCGGGGTTCGGCGGGCTGCAGCTCCCAGCAGGAGCCTTCGATCCCGGCTCGGGCTGGCGGGAGGACGCTGGAGCCACCGTCGCCCTCCTGCGCCCTCCCTGCCTGGCCGTGCCTCCGCGACCAGGTAAAGAGGGCGCCCGGCGGGGTCCTCGGCCCCGCGACCCCGGAGCGCGCTCGCTTGGCCTGGGCCGCGGCCCCGGGCGGGGAGGGCCGGAGCGCGCCGCGACCCCTCGGCCTGTGCCGGCGGCCGGAGCTCCGGGCAGCTGGGGGCCGCGCGGGTCGGCGTGCGCAGCCAGGCCCTCCTTCCCTCTGCTGCCAGGGCTGTGACAAGTTCGCAGTCCAGCGTAGTGACAGGACCTTGGGTCTCACGTTTTTCTTTCTCGTAGATTTCCAGTGCAGCCCTTCCTAATTGGAGCAAACGTTGTGCGAATGCTGCTTGCTCTGCGGACGTTTGCTTGTGGCACATCATCAAAGCAGTGTTTCTCCAGGGTTTTATTTACCTATATAAAATATTTCTTTGTGTTAAACTTGAAATTTCCCTGGTTTCAAAAAAAAAAAAAAAAATCTACACTTCTCTACGTCCTTTTCATCCCATTTTCCTGGCTTTGGAACGAGGTGGCTTAGTAGTTTCCTCTTTGCTCTTAATGCTATACGTTCTTGAATGTCAAGCAAATGCCAGTATTAGTGATACATCTTGCGCTAACATTGATAAGGAAGTTGGTATACTTCTATAACATTTTCCAGGCTTATCTATACAAGCGTTTACAGAAGAAAAGGTAAAACCTAACATGTAGGAATGCGACAGTTTAAAACCTGTAAACACGGCCGTTTAAATATTATGAAAATAAACTGTTAAAACACAGCTGAGTGATTTACTGACATTTAATAAACATTAAGCTGTATGTTGTAATTGCCTGTTGGAGACCGTACGTTACTGAGATGATTGCCGTCAGCATACTCACTACTGAAATGGTGTTTGAGAATATCTTAAAAGTATGATTTAAGAGGTCTGATTTCAAAAAGAAGACTTAGAAATCAGAAATTCGTGGTTTTCTTTCAGTCTTTCATTTTTCTTTCTTTTTTCAACATGTTTGCCTACTCTTTAAAAAAAAAAAAAATCAGATTTCTACTTCTAAGCCCGTGGTGCATGCCTGTAATCCCAGCGCTGAGAGAAGAGCACAGGGGCAGTCCCACCGGGGCAATTTGGCGACACCTAGTCTAAAAAAAAAGGGGTGGGGTGGGGTTGGGAACGTAGATGAATGATGCAGGACCCTGATCCAGAGTACCGGGCATCATGCCAAGTTTTGTTTTAAACATATTTTACTTTGTACCTGTTATTATTGTTTAGTAACTAAATTGCCTTTCTGGTAGTAACTACTTAGCAGACTTCGAAACAAATTCTGGGTCTTAGACAACTGACACACTGTAGTGTATGTTGTTATCCTCAAATACTGCATTCAAAGTAGCTTACTGAATTCTGCTGTGATTAGTACTTGCACTGCAGAAATTCGAACCATTTAGATCATAGCAAATATACGTGTTGTTTGCCGTGGGTATTAGTGTTTTGATTTTTTTTTTTTTTTTTTTTTTCCTGATGTTTCTAACCTGTTAGCGTTTGATGCTGTAGATCCCCTATTAATTATGAGGTCGGGCTCAGCTGTCAGCATTCTGACTCCATGGCAACAGATGAGTCCCTGATTCTCCAGAGAGATTACACACTTCTTTTGTGACTAAAGTTACAGTAAGCTTTTTTACTTTAAAACTTCTGCTGAGTTCTTGCTCAGATAAGGAAATAGTCGGTTTCAATCATAAGCTTTTGTCCTCTGGCACTTAATTATTTCCTGCGTTACATAAGGTAATGAGCTCTGGTAAAACTTAGTTTGCTTTTTCTTGTTTGATCTTTAGTATTAAGGTTGTTAGCTGTTATCTTCAGGGGGGAATGAGGTTTTTTGTTTTTAACCTATGTTATTGTAATAAAATAGGTGGGATTGGCAACAAAGTAGTTCTGATTTATGAAAGCTATAGGAGCTAAGTTCTAAAGTTCAAAATGTTGAACAACTGATAGCTGATGTGGGAGAGAATTTAAACAGGTTTTAAGCTTTAAGTAAGTTTGTAAATTTTCATACTGTCCCCATATTTTTTATAATTGGTTATTATGTATGTGGACATCCAACTTCTACATTTATATTCATTCTCTCTGTGTGTGTGTCTGTCTCTCTCTCTCTCTCTCTCTCTCTCTCTCTCTCTCTCTCTCTCTTTCTCTTTCCCTCCCTCCCTCCTTCCCTTCTGGCTTCCAGCCTTAGTTAATAATATTTTTCAATATCTGAACAACAAAACTTTTCAGCATGAATCATCCACCTTTCCTAGGAAGAAATTTGGAAGTGTAAACCATAGTTTGGATATTATACCTTAAAGTTTGTATATTTTAAAAATATCAATGGATAAAGAATTTGGGCATAAATTATGAAGCTGAAGATTTAACTAGCTCAATAGCAGTATGTTTATGCAAGACCTTAGCTTCAATCCCCAGCACTTTCAAAAATTCAAAATTAAAAGCAGTACCATTTATTTAGGAACTTACAGTAACTGTTCTGTTTTCAGAGCACACTGTATAAGGTACTACTTTTTATCATTCATATTTTATAAATTAGGAAATTATGGTAAAAGTTTTATAATAACAGATTCAGAGTTAAGGACTTGAATTTAGTCTAGCTAAAGTATAATTCTTGGATACATAACTACTTGCTATGTAACTAGAATCTATGTTCTTTTGCATGAATGTCAATTCACATAAAATTTTTTGGTGTCATTTATTTACTTTGATTATGTTTCTGGTGTCTTTGAGGTATATATGATGATGACATACGGGGATTGAACTCAGGACCTTACATTTGCCAGGCAGGCTCTTACGCCACTGAGCTATATTTCCAGCAATGATGACATTCATTATAAGAAATTTGTTTCTGTACATGGTTCTTGTTTTTCCCCATTCCCCTACCTTCCTTCAACCCTTGTTCTCCTTATTTACAAAAGCTTTCCATTTTTCTCCTCCTCTCATTTTTTCTTTTTCCTTCCCACTCCACCCTTCCTAGTTCCCTTTCCCATTTGAAAATTTTCTTCCTATTTCATTATATCTGTTGTACATTTTGGTTTTTGTTTACATTTTTGGTTTCTCACATCAGAATTACAATACAGTATTTACATGTGTGTCCAGTTTCATTTAAGAGTATGGCCTCAAGATGTATCCATTGACCTAGCAATGTCACAAGCTTATCTGTTCTTATAGCAGATTGGTACGCCACTGTATAAAGAAACCATATCTTTTTTAGCTGTTCATCAGTTGCTGGGAATTTGGCCTGTTTCTAAGATTCAGCTGTTACAAACTGGTGTTATAAACATCCCTGTGGTATGATAGTTTTGTTTTAGGAAGATACTAAGAAGAGAAATAGCTGGGTCATATGGGACTTCTAGTCTTAGTTTTTTGAGGAATCTAACATAGATCTCTTCAACGGTCATAGCAGTCTACACTGTATGTGTAGACCAGTCTATATGAACAGTGGAGAAGGATTCCATTTTCCTATCACCAGTGCCAGCATTTGTTATTGTTTTTTTTTTTTTTTTTTTTTTTATCACATATTTTAATTTCTCATGTATCATAAACTGCAGGAAACAGTTAATGTATTTTGTTTTTTGGTTTTTTTTTTGTTCTTTTTTTTTTTTT